ACTATTACCGCTAAAGCAAAAGCAGGACACCAGAAAGGGAATATAAAAATTCTGAAAACAAAATGACAGTAAAAGTCATTTAAACTGCTGAGTGTTTTCCAGTAGAGAAATAAAATTGGCTTTTTCAATTCATCAACCAAGTTTCAATACTTAGGATAAGACCCTGCAGTGCTATTTAGTCCACTGACGTAGCTAAAAACTGTAAATCTTTTTAAAATACACATTTTTGTCAATATTAAAACAATTTCTTAATTAAAAATGTATTTAAAGCTAAAATGTTCATGTAGCAACAGTAGCAGGAGGAGTCGACTGATTATCAGATCAGATATTCCAGTTTTTTGATTTTTGATGAGTTTTGTAGGGCCGGGGTTCCTGATAAAATTAATTTATAGTTTAGTTTATAATTCTTAAAAATTAAGATTTAAACTCTTACTGTGAAGTTATATTATTTATAAATATCAGTTATTGGTGCTCTTGATTACTCATAAGCCACATGGACCCTGGAAAAACAAAAAGTCGGAACTGCAACAAGCTTTTCAGTTTTGGAAGGACAGTCATAACCGCAGACTCCAAATGGTTTTCTCAACATTACAAACACATCGTGCAGAAACAAATTGCTGATTTACACCTTTTACTGCTCCACAAACTCCTGAAGAAAACAGCTATTTTACGTGGCGCCTCTTCAGCTCTTTGCCTCTCACACTGTGCAGGTCGCAGTGCAACAAAACAATGATACCAAAGTGGATGAAACGCCGCGTGACGCTTTCTTAAAGCATTTTATACTCAGAGAAAGTTGACATTATGTCATCGGTGTTTTGGTGAAAGTGGCGCTTTTGCTCAGAGAAACAAAGACTGACTGGATGCTGTAAAAAATAAATAAATAAAATAAAATAAAAAGGTGACACATGCACGGATCACCTGAAATAACGTCCACATTTCTCAGCAGTTTGAAGCATCTTTGAACCTTTTAAAGTTCATCCCTTTACCATTTCTTTGTTGTTAAATTCAAGTCTTACCACTTAGATCGCTTCCCTCCGTACATGAAATCTGAATATCTGAACTCTTTGTGTTTTGCAGAGAAAGGAAGGAAGTTTTTGTGCCACAGTTGTGAAATTAAATAAACCAGCGAAAGACCGATTCAACAATCTGTTTGTAAAGATATCAGAAAGCCCTTTTCTTGCAGTGACAAGCGGCTAAAATAAAACTCGAGGGAGATGCAAATTAAACAAATTTGACTTGTCTAAATCTGCAGACTCCTCCGCACGCCGATAAGAATCGTTTGGCACAAACAAGCTGCACATTTTGAATATGATTGGCAGAAAAACGAGGACAAACTCTGCCAGATTATCCAAACGCCGGTTTAAGGAGGCTCTGTGTGTGGACGGTCCATTAGCTCACACTCTCAGATCACTGAGCACCAATAAAGAGCAGATCTAATCAGATTCCCAATAAATCGACAGCGAAAACCGTGTTTGACTTCAGATCTGCGCCTGCCAAGACAAACAGTCCACCCAAAGAAGGGTTTTATTTTAGTGGGATTGATGACTGAAACGTTATTGCTGCTACTTCAATCGCACAAACAGAAGGAGATTAGCTGTGATGTGTAAATTAAGTCCTACGTACTTGTTCAACGTTTTGTTCCGATTCAAAACCGCAGATGTTTGTAGCGCTGGAAGCCGCAGAATTCATGAGTCAGAGAGCCGAGTCGATTTATTTATCCAACCTGCTTCCCTGGAAGAGGCAGCTTAGGACACAAGAGATTATTTTCAACACAGTTTCAGCGAACTGAAAAAGACTTACGGGATTTCTTGAAAATTTCCGATCGTCACCCATTGAGTCTGGAGAAGCTGTGAGTCAGTATTTGGTCTTAAAAGACAAATTATATTAGAATAATAGATAAATTATTATTGACTGACCGTGCTGGAGTTAAGTTCAACAAATACTGCAGATAAAAGTCCTCTTTTTAGAGATTTTCTCTATTTTATTTTATTTTTTTTCCTAATTTTGTTTTCTTTTTATTTACATTTTTTATTTTAATCCAGTTTAGTTTGTCTTCGTTGTTTGGTTTATGGTTGATGTTGCTGATGGCGGACTCGTAATTGTGACAAATTTAAATTTGACTGATTTGCTTGAAACTTTTTTATCCTAAACTATAGATATTTAAAATGGTATCTGTGAAATTCTAGATTGATATATCCAATATTTCTCGGGATCTTTTTTTTTTTAAAGAAAACCAACAACTGCCCATCGACCCACTTTCACCACGTTTATTCGCACGTTGAAATTTGAAGCGATGTTTGAATGACAACATCTCAGGAACTATTGAAGACAAAAGCCTGAACTTTTCAGTTCTTTCTCATCGTGTCATTGATTCAGAATCTGCAATATTGAACAAGTAGCTTGAATGAAATAAAATAACTGAAGCTATCATGAAAAGTGCCATCTTTAAGCTCATATTAACAAAAAATAATAATAATAATGCAGAAGTGATCTAAAGATATTTTCTGAACTCTATGTAGCTGCATGTCACAATAATATTGAAGAAAAACATATAGAAGACTTCATAGTATTAAAAAATTGGTCACAAAAATGGAAAAAAAGTTATTTTTGTAGATTTTTCATGAGTGATCAAGCAGGTTTGACAAGCTGTAATACAAAAACAAACATACTGCTGAAGTAGAACAGAGTTCTGGGGTTTCAAAATGATCAAAACAGAGAGAGACTAGTCAATATCATGATGAGAAATAACTGTGAAAAGTTTTTTCTATAGTAGTTCCTGAGATGTTGTCGTTCAAACATAGCGTCAAATTTCAACGTGCGAAAAAACCTGCCGAAAGTTGGTGGACGGGCTTTTTAATAAGTATACATCTCAAAAGATATTTACTGTGTTAGGCTAAAATTTCACAAATATCTCTACAAGTATTTATAATTTATGCTATAAAAATATCAGAGATGGTTGAGCAGAAATTGTTCTAAAAAATGTGTTGATTTGAGATGAAATCTGAACTGACACTGACTGATCCAGCAACGTGGGTGAACAGGGCTGGCTGCTTTGTACCAACACTGTTTGATTGCTAGTTTTGATGTTTAAGTTGCTGAAATTTCATACAGAGAAGTCCAGTGAACCCTGTCTGACAGATGAAGTAACGGGTCTTGCAGAGTGCCATGTTAGAGGAGGGACGCGGTTCAGGACGGCAGGCCGCTTCCTGTCACCGCTGCATCGGAAATACCAGCGCTGAAGCCTCGGAGGCTGGATTCAGATTAGACGTCGCACATTCACACTTTCACGAGCACAAACAGTACGTTCAGAACCACCCAGAGTCGACACGCAGCCAGCTGCCCAGAGTAAACACAACCTCGCATACTGTAGCCGCCTCAGAATCCTCAAACGCACACAAAAGGACGCGCACACACAGAACCTCCCATCCGCTGGGAGTATTGTTGGATTCTTCCTCCTCTGACGCCCGAGAGGCTCTGGCTTGGGAAAAGGAAACGCAGTCTTGTGTAACCTTGCACACAGCGGCGAGTCGGAGAGTGTTTGTGTTAGAGGTCGGCCTCGAGCGAAAGCTTTAATCCTCATTTCTGCAGCCGCCGTCTATTCAGATCCACACCGAAGGCCTGTGGGTTCGGACTGACTCAGTAAATACATGAATAAATACACAAGTCGCGCGCTCTTTATTAGGAACGACAACCTGCCAATCACGTAGCAGCATGAAATCCTGCACCAAGAAAACTGACATTGTTTTTCCATGATACATATTGAAATCTGACTTGAATCCATTTTGTAAAGCTGCTTCCAGTGTGACACTTATTTACTCAAGTGCAAGCAGTCACGACGTTATTGGTGTTTTTTTTTCTGTCTATCAATAATGACAAGGCCTGATAAGAGGTTCCTACTGGACCACATCTACGGGAATGACGTGCAATAATAAGTCATTTAATGGGCTGAAACATGCATCATCTGCACATCTTGAGTGTAGCTGGGGGATCCGATGGAGACGTCTGCATCCCAAATGTCCAGAACGTTCCCACGAATCACAGATGTTGCAAAACATCAGAGGAAATATGAAGCAGGCGACACAAGAGATTGAACCTGCTGTTCAGAGCAGCTGCTGCCATAAACTGCTTCACACACACATATTAGAATCAATTAGTTGGAATTATATGCTGCGATTTGATTAGCGACCAAAATGGTACCTCGCCATCGATTTGTTGTCGACGTGATGTTGTTAGCCTCAATGCTAGCTGTTCAGGCCTCTCTCTGAAAGTTTCTCCTCCTCTTTGCTCCGAGACTCTGCATTGTGGGAAAAGTCCATTACTTGTTTACATGCTCCCACTTTTTCCTCCTCCACTTGTGAATTAATGCAGCGAGTCGCGCGAAACCACTCATTCCTGCTCACCTCTCCACTCCTCAGAGGGAGTTATTCACATTTAAAAGCCCATAATCAAACACCTACGCGTTAAATGGAAGGCCATTAACGCTAATGGTATACCTTGGACCGAGCCGAGATGAAACCTCGAGGAACTGCGGACTATTAAGGGGCGCGACGAGGACTTTATCCTCCTCAGTGAGGAATCTCCCTTTCGTTTGGTCTGAAGCGTCTGTTTTCCGGCAGCAGACGGCCACGAGGAGGTCAGAGGTTCTCGCCTGGTGAAACGTATTCAATCTGGAAAGGGGAGGAAAGTTCGTCTTGTTAATCTTCTCGTTGTGATTTTACCATCTCGGGGTTGTGATGCGGGCCCGAGCAGTGGGGGGTATTGATTCGTATTGAGCCTCTTTGCAGGTGAAGTAGAACGTCTGATTTCCTGTTTTAAGTTATTAACAGAGGAGAACAACCTGCCCCTCCCTGCCTGTGGTCCTCCAATAATCTGTAAATTCGCCAACTTGAAAGTCCTCCCAGCTCCTCTGGCCGGCGCTCATGTCTGCTGAAGTGTTCCCTGGAGGTTATTTTTAGGACGCACCCCCGCCCTCTGAAGCTCAGTTGGTCCAGTCCGGGCCAGAGGAAGGGGAGTGGTAGGGGAAAGGGGAAATCTTCAACAATGACTTCATTAACATGATGCCCAACATGACCAGCACGACTGGACTCTACTGCTCTACTGCTACAACTCTGGATATGTGACTTTTGGATTTAATTCCCTGCTTTCGTCTGATTCTACTCTTGGGGGGAAACATGGAAACCTGCTGAAGTTTCATCCATCAAACACTTCAGAAGCATGTTGATCACAAGTGAGTAGGAGCTCACATGTTGCGCTGTGACAGACGGCCAGATAATGACATTACGAGCCTCTCAATTCGGTTTTCTTTTCGGTGACAGATGACAGTTGCTGCTTGATGACATTCATTAAAGAGCTGATTGGTTGATGAGCTTAACGAGTTGTAATTAACGAGGACCTGATTGAGCCTTGATTAGTGTGAATACGGCTCTTGGGCTTCTTTATAAAATTAACTGTAGGACCGCTTCAGATTAAACGTGCGAGTCTGCCGGAGAGATTTTCGGTGTAAATGTGTAGTAAAGTTGTTCTTCATTCTTGAGGCTGAAGAGGAATGTTGAAGAACTGAAAGGTCTTTATTGTTTGAAGGCCGTGGGCCTGGAAACATCACGAGCGCGGCTCTGAAGAGCGTAGGACCGCTCTGAATGTGTGTGGGTTACTTTAAAATGTGATCCGTTGAAGGGAACTGAAGATATTCTGTGTTTTTCATGTGAATTTGGGCCTTGAAATGTCATAACACATAAGAGTGTGTGTGCAGCGGAGCACTCCTGTATGTAAATCATATGTAAATTATTCCAAAACCGGCGTTCTTATCGTGTGGTACGTGACCTAAATCTGCAGTTTACTTTTGCTTTTAACAGTTTCATTTATGGACCTGACATTTGCTCTCATTACACAACGTCACCTTTTCTTGTGGTGTGTCAGTAAATGAATCGGAGAAAGTCGGCTCTAACCAACACTGTGGCCTGTATTAACCACAGGGTCAGTGGTGGTTCCAGTGGGATGAATGTGATGTTTAAATGGTGCTTATTTAACATCACCTCGTTAGTTCGTCTTTTAGTTCTTAGTCTCCTTTTTAAAATATCTGTAAAACATGTTTTGACTCTCAAAATGTGCATGTAAAATACGGTTGTCCAGGTTTGAACCCATCAACCGTCAAACCAAAATGACAAATAAGATCCGGTTCCAGCTTTCTGAATGTGAAGATTTGCTGCTTTTCTGTTTCCCATCGTTGTAAGTCAAACATCTTTGACTTTGGACTTCAGGGCATTTTAAAGTTCACCTTTTATAAATGATGAAAAGAGAGTAAAGAACAAGACGGCGGTGGCAAATAAAACGGTCATAATAACTTCATTAATGTAGCCTCTTTCTAAAACAACATTTCAAGATGCTTCACAAAACAGACATTAAATCCAGGGCAAAAAAACAACCCAAGGCCAAGGACCAAACACCAAACTAAATAGAATCATCACAAAGCAAAGAATAAAAAGCCACATGCTAGAATCTAGTAAGTAAAATATAACAGAACAGAATAAATATTTAAAATTAAGTTTTCTTGGAGGAACTGTAGTTTTTTGCCACTGAAGGCAAATACAACAAACGTCCTTCAGTTGGTACATATTCTTCGGTGCTTTCCCTGTTGATTGACTTCCTACATTTCCCAGAATGCCTTTGAAAACACAATGACACTTGGCCCAGTTGAGGTGAAGCTAGAGTTTGCAGCTGCAGTTAATTCTGGTCCATTTGCTCGTCCTTTACTAGACACTTGCAGGTCCATAAAAACAAGCCACAGCAGGCCATAAATAATAAGAATATATCAGCTGTCCCTTGTTCTTCAAAGACAACTTTGCCATAATTTATTCTAAAAACTGCTGTCAACCTCCAGAGCCACAGAGGAGCTCACACGAGTTTGTTTTCGCTCCGCCGGTTAATGAGCTTTTCTACCTAAATGCACAAGTGGCTCGTTAGGTGTCAAAATATCAAATATCCACGGAGCGGACCGAAGTTTCAGATCTATTACGGAGGCAAGAAGTGCTGTAGTCCAAACTAACTCGCAGCCGTTTCTTCACCGAACGATCCTGAGAAACTTCCAAGGAGAAAGTGAACCTTGAAATATGACATCAAGACATAAAAATCATCCTTCAGCGTGAGTGGACAGTCCACAGACAGATTTACGTACATCTAATAAATCTTTCGCTGAATCCTTTAGCTGCTTTTTCTCCTTCAGCAAAAAGACAAAGAAGCCAAATGATGCTGAATTTTCGGAGCCGAAACCTTTAAAAGTGCAAAACTTCACATCTGTTCAGGGCCGGTCCTGACCAATTTGGTGCCC